TAACGCGCTAAGGGCGAAATGGAGGGAGGTTGCGATGCACCGGAGTAAACTGATTGGTGATTTAGAAAAGGAAAAATCACCAATCAGGGTGCTTTTAGGAAAATAGGAGTCTTCTTCGAGGGAAACCGCAGAGACTCCAGGAGAAACACTTGGCCACTCGCAAGTGAAACACCTCTCACTTCGCAGTAGAATTTATATCTTGAATTAGTTGTAGAAAATAGAACATAAAATAAAAACTTAGTGTTTCAATCATGAAACTGGTCCTTCGAAACCTTGGAACATTAGTCGGCACACACGTGCAAAAACCGGCAACGCTTGAACGATCGAAAGATCAACCGCAAGCCCCTAACAATATGCAAATTAAAAATCACGAAAATTATGCGAAGGACATATGTATATGAAGTTCTATAATGCAGAAATATATGTATTTTGTGTGAAGACGATTGGTCAGTATATAGCATCGTAGCAATGAACGTGTTAACTTGGTTTTTTGGAAAATCGATTTTTGGAAAATTTCTGTAGTTCGTTTGCAAGTGGTTTTATTTCTCATTATTTTCGCGAGGGAATATCAACGGTAAAGTATGTTACTAATAGGTACAATATGTATTTGCATACCTGCTACTTGTTCTATTGGTAACAAATAACAAATAACACTAACATAGATAGAAGTAATTGACAGTGAAATTTTCAAAATTGTATTGCTCAACGATAAATTATTGGATAAAACAGTTTTGTCCTACATTTGTTATTTGTTCTTATACGAAGAAGGACTTCCCTTTTGATTGTACAGGTAATGAATTATATCTTATTCTGTATACATTTTTAACTTATTTTTACTACGAAGAACTCTTTGGTTTAAAATACTGACGAAAATGATACATTAAGAAATTTTAGTAAGTAAATAGATATATTGTTTGCTTAGAAAGCAAAGGTTTCATTGCAAATTAGGTATGCGTAAAACATTCGAATTCCCATAAAATGAAGTGTGAATTTAACACATTATTATTAGTGGACAAATAGATACAATCTGTTCTAATTCTTTTGAAAAATCTACATATTTAGTTTAGTATTGTAACCGAATAACAAGGATAAACATTATTTTATACTTACAAAATATCTCCAAATTTAATGCTTTATCGCTATTAACCCTTTGCACTCGAAGGCCTTTTATAGTGTAATTTTTTTAAAACTAATATTTTTATTAGAAGTTGGTTCTTTCAAACTACTTCACTGCTAAGGTCTCTAAACACGTAGTGAACAATTCACGAAGGTCCATAGACCTGCTGTCTTGGAAAATATCATGCTTACAGTTGCCTCTAATGGTAAATATAACGTCGCTTCTTACTTAGTCGCCTCTCGAGTGCAAAGGGTTAAACAAAAGACGAGAAGCTTTTTATTTCAATTGTTGTATCTCTGTTAATTCAGGGTAGGCAGTCATTTCATTATCCAACACACTGCGTTACTTACTTTAGATTTGTCTCGAAAATGACGATATTTACTTGCAATTATTATTAAAAACTCGAAAATGAAACATGTTATTATATTCTAAAAGCATAGAAAAATTATTGCAGGAAGAAATGTAAAGAAGAAGAAGGAGAAGCAGTAATACTTAAGTATTATACATGATACAGTGCTACTCAACAAAATTCGCTTCGAGTAGTTAGACAGTCAAATTTTTATGAGTATTACGAGAAGAAAATTAAACGCCATTAGTAAGAACTGGTAATTAACAAAAACCTTTCCTGTTGACTATGGAGTTTGAAACATAAGTGAAAAATGTTGTATATTGAAATCTATTTTGTGAAAGCGGAAGTGATAGGCATCGTGTGAACGGAAGTAAGGATATGAATAGATGTATGAAGTACATATAGTATAATTTCTTCAAGATGTAACACCATATAAACTCGTCGAGCGTTTAACCTAAATGCGAAACACTAATTGAAAATATTTATAACAATTTTGTACATTAAAACGATATTCAAGCTCCTTCGGTCAACATTCAGAATCACCGAAAAGTACAAGAGAAAAGGTAAAAACTTTTAGACGGATCAATTTATCCCGTAAATCAAGAAAACTAACGTGACAGACAGACATTAAACTAAATTGAATTCTTCAAAATAATTAGACGCATATTTTTGTATTATTCAATTTTATTTCAAATAAATACGGTAAATTGTCTCGTAGATGTCCTATTCGCTAAAAGTATTCATTTCGTTATAAATACACAATATTATTCTCAATTTGCTGGAAAGAATTTTGAGTTTGCAGTGAAGAAACATTTTGTTCCAATCGAAAAATAATATCTCTCACCGATGTGTTATAAAAATAAGTAAACGATTTACACTATAAATAAATTAAGCACAATACACTTATCAGTCGGGCAATTTGCACATTTAAATTAAAAATAGTTTTAAATGCCCTAACACATTCCATTTACAGTAGTGTGTAGAAGATTTTATTGCATCTTTATTATTATTCTACGTATATTAATTGCTGTACATATATTTATTTAGATAGAAACCTGCTATGAGTAAAAGTTTCGAAAAAAAAAAAACCGTACAGTTGGAAACTTACCCATGCCACTGTGCGCAAAAGCCAAACTCTAATCATCATTATCTTTCCAATCCCATCAATCTTTCCACTCCAACAATTCTCCAAATCAAACAATCTACCGCTAACCAACCAACCAACCAACTATTAGGTTGCTCGGAAATAAATTGCGGTCTTCAACAGCCTAATATTTAGAGTTTTGTATACTGCAAATTTTGAATTCATGTTTATTATACGATGTAGGACCATTTTAAAGCGTAGAAGTCGCATTATCGTTTACTGGTTATACCTTTGCTTTCTACGTTCGTCTGTTATCAGTTTAGCTTATCAAAGCAGCCATAGAAAAGAAGCATATTCGTGCAATTTTTCTGTGCGAATTAAAAGTGGGACGTAAAGCAGTAGAAACTGCTCGAAATATCAATCATGTATTTGGTTAAGACACAAGTACTGAACGCACAGTGCAACGTTAATTTCAACGATTTCGTACTGACGATGAGAGCCTCGAAGAAAAGGAATTTGTTGCATATATTCCATGTCCTATAACAGTGCAATTTGCACAGAAGCCAGATGTAAGTAAAATAATAGCCTGTAATTGGAAGAAATGCACAAGAAGTTACTTGTCATACAATCAATTTTAGTGAATCGAAAGGGTCTAATACTCTTACACGATATCACGGTTAACGCTTCAGAAGCTAAACGAATTAGGGTATGAGACATTACCTCATCCTCTCTACTCGTCAGATTTGTCGCCGTCAGACTACCATTTTTTTAATCATTTGGACAAGTTTTTCCAGCAGAAAGTCCTTCGTAATATAAACGACACTGTGGCGGTCTTTAAGGAATTTATCAATTCCAGAAGCGCAGAATTTCATAGTAATGGAATAAAAAAAGCTTGTATCTCGTCGAGGAAAGTGTATAGTTTCTAATGGATCTTATTTCGATTAAATAAATTTATTTTGAGCAAAGTTAAGTAAAAATCGCAATTTAGCTTCGGATTTAATTCCATTTTGTTCTTCTAGAATGAAAAGTTGTAATTAATTGTACTTTCGTTTTTAATAAACGTGATGCGGACGAACATTGGTATTCGTTGGAGTGCTTTGATTTTGAGAAAAGTGAAGTTCAAGTGTGAAGTTATTTATCTTTAAAATAAAAATTCATCTATTAAAATATTTTAGTTACTTATCTATCCGTATTTATCTATAGTACCATTCTATTTTTGAATCATAATTAACGAATTGCTGATAAGATAGATGTTCCGAAAAAGTTAAAATTGGTGATAATTTCTTCGTAGATACACGGATGTATCTCGTTTTATTACTACTCTATAATAGAAGAATCTTTACCTTTTCCGTAGCTTCACAAACACCAATCCCTAAAAACCGCAATTTATTTCCAGACAATCTAATAAAAAGGAGAACAAACTGGCAATCAACAACCCAATGAAATCCACATCAATTTCAATCTAACCCGAAAACGACCTTGAAGAGAAAAAACCTGAACTTAACTGAAACATCGCTTGCTATTCGTCCCCCGGAACGAGAGTAGTCAACAGGAGGTATAGCCAACGATTCCCGGCACTCGACGTGGATGCCGCTATTAACCGAGCCCGAGCAAACTAACGCTACTCGACGACACTGTTCGAAGATTCGGAAAGGGGGTTGCATCAGGGTTGAGGGGGGGAGTGGAAAACGCATCGCGTCGTTGCTCTCTCCAGCCTGGTCCACGATCACCAGCTATGATATTGAGCTTCGTGGTTCTCGATAAGAGACAACGGGTACGCAGTGGCCAGCAGAGAGCATCGGGAAGTCGCGACACTCCGCCGCCGTCCCCCGCGCCGTTAGATTACGGAATTCAGGATCAATATCCATGGTGGTAGGTGTGGCGGATGGCAGAGGGTTCCATCTTCGACCGTCCTCTCGGTGCTTATTGGTCGGAGGATCGGTAGACTGTAGAGCCTGAAGCCCGTGCACCGTTCTGGGTAAACGGGCGGAGCCTGCTGTCTCTCCCCTAGACCTAGTGGGGAGAAGCCATCGGTGCTCTCCTGGCAGACGGCCGAATCGTAAATCATGACCAGTCGGTCGCTCGGAGCGCATCGTGACAAACAGGCTGAAAACCGTTGGAAAACATCGGGCCCCCGCGATCGATCGCACTCGTCGACCGGCCGATCATTAATTTCGTTTTCACGACGTTGTTCGCGCGCTCCTTGTGCTCCCCTTTACATCAAGATTAATCGTTCGTAATTTACGCGTGTCAACGTCGTACAGTGAAATTAGTTGACGATTTATCAAGAAATATTTGGTTCGATGCCCGTTGAGAAAATCGAACGAGCATCGTGAAGTTTTCATGTGAAACGTGTGCGCTAACTGTTCAAGTGATCGATTTCTCCGACGTGTCGGAAGATCGGGAAAGATTGTAAATTAAGAAAAGGTTGCTATCTGAAAGAAACTATCATGTGCAGTAACGAGAGTCCACCACCGGCGAAAGAACCACTAGCCGTCGGATTGGGTAACCCTATGACTGGTTTTTTGCCCGGTCTCGAGCACTATCGTCTTCAATTGTACCACTACGCGATGGCGGAGAGGCTAAGGTTAGCTCAGCAGCTGCACCCTCAGCATCCAGGAGTCGGCCATCCCCCTTCCAGCGCTCCTACGCATCTTGGAATGAGTCCAGGGTTTCCGGCGCCCTTGCCCCTGTATCCGGCAGCAGCGGCCGCTGCCGGATATCCAAGTAGATTAGCTTTATCCATGGCGCTGTTGCATCCTCATCATCAACGGATACCGGAGGAACCGAAGCCTCAACACAGTTATATCGGTCTAATCGCCATGGCAATTTTATCCTCTCCAGAAAAGAAACTAGTGCTGTCAGATATTTATCAACATATCCTCGAGCACTATCCGTACTTTCGAACCCGTGGTCCAGGCTGGCGGAATTCCATCAGGCACAATCTTTCGCTAAACGATTGCTTCGTGAAATCTGGCAGAAGCGCCAATGGCAAAGGTCATTACTGGGCCATTCATCCTGCTAATCTCGAAGACTTCCGTCGCGGAGATTTCAGGAGACGCAAGGCTCAAAGGAAAGTCCGTAGACACATGGGTCTTGCAGTGGACGAAGAACCAGATAGTCCAAGTCCTCCACCTTTACCAGCCACTCCGCCTCCCCCTGCCACGCTAGGACCACCAGTAGCCTCTCAACCCATGCCAGGCATCTGGACACCCCATCACCATCATCCTCATCACCAACAACAGCAGCAACAGCAACAACAGCAACAAACCTTCCAGAGTCAGACTCTACGACAGTCCTCGTCCTTTCAACCATCCAGAAAAAGGCAATTCGACGTGGCGTCACTGTTGGCACCTGATGATCAAATCGAATCTGATCTAAGGCCAACTAAGACGAGGAGGTTCAGCTGCAGCGAGGACGAGTTACATGATCTCCAGGAGCCTGATCAGGACGAGGAGGACGTGGACGTGGACGTGGTCGCTGAAACGAACGCTCTACCGTCGCCTAATACGCCGTCGGCCAGTCCAGACGCCAAGATCATCTCCACAGTTGGACACTGGACCAATCAGGGTATACAGAACAGCAATCAACAGATTTCCGGGCTGCATCTTCAGAATCATCTGCAAGCGAGGAATTACTATGTACCGGCCACATCTAGTACCGGGCCAAGCGTCTAATGGCGGCCACGTTCATCCCTGTTGACGTTCGTCATTTTCGTGATTTCTCACCAGTTTCCAAAATGAGACTGTTCGTAGTTGCTCGATCGGTCCTCAAGGCGATACGCAGCTGCTGGAAACTCGCGTAAGCGATGTTCTCAAGTGACCAAGGTGACAAGTTTAACCCTTTGAGTGCTACACGCGGTCAACACAGACTATGATGAGACGTCAGTATAGACTGGAAAATGTGTTGAAGAACGAGTCGAAACGTATCGCCTATTTTACAGAGTAAACAATCGTACGAGTGATTTCATTATACGTGATATGATTGAACGAACAGATCTGTTCAGCTACGAACTTTCCTGCACTCAAAGGGTTAAATAGACCCTTTAGCGATTTTTCATTAGATAAGATTCGCCTAACTCGAGGAATGTTTTGTTGTCACTAGCTGGTGCTAGTTAGTCGTGCCAAATTGCGAGACTCTTTTTTAGTTCCTCCGACTACGCTAATTCGATCCCCTGTCTCGGAAGATTTAATGGTTATTATAATTGTCTTTGTATATATGATAGTTTTGTTATTTGATTGCAAGTCAACGCGGTGCAATACGGCTCATCAACTAATTCGTTCCTTCGTTTGGTGCGTGTTTTTAACTATAAATCCTCCGTTTCCCCGAATCACCTAATTAGCCGGTGTCTTGTCACTTCGAGTTCGAGTCCGGTACTTGAATTCATGTATCGTGCAAATGTACTATATAAATATAAATGTTTAAGGAGCGTGCGTGTAGTCGGAGATTTTCAGATAGAATTCCACTCAGCGTCGATGTTTGACGATTATTGGATACCGTGGATCGTTAACCTTTCACGGGATACTTTACGACCGAATTCTCGAACGGATTGTACGGTAATTTAAAGAAAAAAAAAAAAAAATATAGGAGGATGATGAATTTTATACGTGAAAGGTTAACGTGCACGTATTTGTACGCGATATCGATAACGAATCGATATTATTCGTGCCAATCGTGGGATTCTAGCCGCGAGATTAAGGAAAATTCGTGTATATAGTGAGAGAGGAGCCATAAAAGGGAGGATGATGTCGCTCGATACGTAATTTCGTACGTTTCACGGTAGTATGAAATTCCAATGTGGGGCATTACATCAGACTGAAAGCGGACCCGCCTGTTCAAAGTGTAATATAAATCGTTTGAAGGTTTATCGATAGTCTCGTCTTCATTATTAATCCATATATCGTCTCGAACGATAGAAAACGATGTACCAAGAATATATTCTGTGCAAGCTCTCGCCCCTCTGTATGTATGTATGTATGTATGTATGTATGTATGTATGTATGTATGTATGTATGTATGTATATGTACCTATATATACGTGCCTACGTATAATTGAGATGTATCACGGTTGACACAGACACAAACATGAAGGAAGTCATGAACATTATAGACACACATGTACACAGGCATATCGCGTGGTACGATCGTTCGTAAGTAAATGAAAGAATACACGGTTTTTTAAAGATTACCTCAAGGAATACAGATACGTCGTCGACCTGTCTTCTCTTGATTCTCAGCGCGGAACTGCCGCATCTTGATGCAATTGAAGCTGAATAAAGTTTCTGTTCCCATGAATTTTCGATTCTTTTGATTCTCTGTGTATACCTGTCCCCTCTTTTCACGCATAGATAAGAGTTAACGTGAATAAGTAATAATCTGACGAGATATTTTCAAACTTATATGTATTTAGGAATAATTAAAGTCGATGGGAGGCCTGATTAGTCATGAATTTCTTTTGTTTAATAATTTATTTGTGTAATTTCGCGGTTAGAAGAGTAATTGTTGAAGGAATTTACCTTAAATTCGAGGCGATAATTTTCTCCTGTTAGTGCATTTCTTGTTTTTGAAACTTTTAATACATTTCTTAAAGAAAATGCTTTCTTAAGTTGTTCGGAGAATACTTTCTAAGGAATTCAAGTACAATAATTGGTTTTCATTTATTTGGAGATAAAAGTTAGGCGACTCAAGCGAATTTTCTAGAATGTAGAACGTCGTTATTAAATTTGAAAATACTGAAGTGAACAATTACGACGGCTGAATTCTTCGTTTCTCATTATTTCGCCTACTTTATTTTTACAAAGAAGATTATGTTACTCGTTCGAAATCGAATTTGAATTTATTCTAATTGAAATATTAGATAGGTACATATAACCATTCGAAAATTTATTTCAAAGAAAATGATTGGATGGACAAGTAGGTACCTTGATTTAAAAAAACTTCAAAATATTTATTACTGTATAAAGATTATCAAATTCGTTCATGTAACATATGAAGAGGTTTAAACTATACCTCAGTAACGTACAATCCTCCACAATATGAGTTCAATGAACTTTGACTAACGAGTGCATGCAATTATATTTATATCGATGCAAACTTAACTAATTATGAAGATCTAATTTACAAACAATTACTATTATGCAACACATTAGCTGTTAAAATCATCAACTCTTCAAGGGAACATGCAGCTACACTTATCAATTTCCTAATGTAAAAGCATGATAAAGAAAAGGTGAAGTGCCATGAAGGAGACATCTTCTTCTCCTTGTAAGCTACCGGTAGGAGCATTATCGCGTCCATAGTTCACACACACAAACTGACATAAAAATCATTTAACATTCAGCAAGAAAAATTACCAAAACGAAAAAAATGTTTTCATATATTATTTAAACAAATGATTCGTTTTTAAAATACTTCGTGTGAATATATCCCCCGTTCAAAAACACACTATAAGGACAATGGACGTTTCTTTAGATCTTCCCAATTCTCGAGATATTCCAGAAAATGTGTTTTCAACCCCTAACTTTAAGGGCTTTTCTCATCCCTTCAATATGGACAATTGCAGATACAAAGAATACATGTCAAATACTTTTTCATGAACTATCCCTCGTATAATTTTCGTTAAAATCGGCGTGTGTGGGTTCGACGTGTTCTTTTGTCAGAGGCGTCACTAATACGCCGTGAAAATTAGCGTGTTCCTATAGGAGGAAGGGTTGGAAAAGTGGCAGGAGTTTTTGCCACTGATATTAATGTCAGTTAAACTTCAACTGTAAATATTAGGTTGAACGGAAAATTCGTGACGATTTTTAAGTAGGTAAATAAGTAAATTTCACACTCTACAGCAATAATTTCTCTACTCTATAAGATACGTACCGTTTAGTTCTACTTTTCGTCGTCTTCCAGCAATTTGAAAATTCTATTACGCCAAATACTTTGCTTTTTTATTTTCTCAAAGATCGAAAGAGCGAATAATTTTCACTGATAGACTACTTTCTCCGTAAACATTACACACCTCATATGCTGTTTCAGCGACATTTCTTCTTTTCTAGTAAGAGAAAAACATTAAGCGTCGGAAATATACTCTTCCATCCGAATATAAATCTTCCATCTTCAAAACAACACCCCACCAAAAAGTAACTAATAATTGTAACGAATAGACTTTCGAAAGACACGCGAAACAACAATCTTTCAGAGATATTTGACACAGAAGAAAACCTCAAGAAGACAATTGAACTTATCTGTAGAATAAACCTTTACTGTCAAATATAGAATAATCAGCAATTATGATCGCTGCTAACCAAGACGTTGATGAGACCTTAAATTATGTTTAAAAAAACAAAAGTAATGTTTCAGAATTTATGCGAACTTCGTATGTTTTCGTCGAGTTTTATTTGTTCCAATGTATTCAAATACTACTTATTAAAAAATCAGCACGGATTTTCCGGACAACTTAGTATTTTGAAAAGTATTGAATATCTCCCCCTATGATGGAATGTTTTCATAAACAAAGTAACAAAATCTACCAACGTTCGCAACGACCCGTCTTCTTCTTGCACCTTCCCTGTGAGTCTTCGTTGTTGCCTTGCAAAAAGCTGCCTATGCAAAGAGCAAAAACCTGTGGGCCAAGTGTACCGAAAAACACTGACTTATGTTAGAGAAACGGGTAAATTACAAGAAAAAAACTTAGTTATTCTGCATTACTAAATTAACGAATGCCGTTAGTTTAACGAAATGACTTGCAAACCGTTCAAACTATTTATCGTAACATAAAACATTTAACCACTGAGTTTAATTCTAATTCAAGGAAAATAGAGGAAAGAATACTAATAATGTAGTTACTGCGTTGTAATATTATATACTATTTAATTAAAAAAAAAAAAAATACACAAAAATGTATCAGAAATTCGTTTACAGTATTTGCATCTGAATTAGAATATGAAAAGAATAATTTCGCAAAGCATAAATGTTCGAAATGAAAATCTTTTCAATTTACATACAAAAAATTCGAAAAAAATCATGCACAATATTTCCATCCAAATCTGTACATAAACTGTAATATTTAAAATTCGAAAGGAAAAAATTCGCCAAAGTAAACACGTTTATCCGAACCAATAGCAGAACGCATAAACGAAACGATCTGCATAATTAATCGCGTTAAATATCTTCAAAGTGCATTGAATCGATGTTCGAGGATGTTTCGTGACGGGGATGAGTCATCGATGATTTTAGCCCGATAGAAATTTTGCCTCGATATACAAGTACAAACAGCGAGCCGTGCCACTCTTAACACGAATACCTTCGCTATTTTTTTCTCCCGTTTTTTCTTTTTCAAACGGGTTTCGCAGAAAAGTGCAAGAAGTTGACACAAACATTCCGTGCACGTTTGCGCGCCGATGGAAAACGCCAAGTGGCCGGGTATTTTATTTGTTTTAATAACAAACGTTCAGTCGTGCCCATTAGTTAATGCACATGAGAAACGCTGGAGATTCCTCTCGCGAATTGTCTTCTACAAAAGAATGCGGAGGATTTTTTTCATGCCTGTTGAAACTACGCAAATGTCTCAAATATGAGAAAACAAGGTTGAAAACGCAAGGTAGGTACTACTTACCTATTGAGTAATGGCAGTCACACACATACACACGCCTTAAAAGTGACATAAAATTTAGGAATTCTTGTCTTG